CTCTCCTTAGCAGTGGTTTCCTAGCAGCTATTTGACCATGAAGGCCTGATTGGCGCAGTCTCCTCTTAACAGTTGTTCTAGAGATGGGTCTGCTGCTAGAACTCTGTGTGGCATTCATCTGGTCTCTGATCTGAGCTGCTGTTAACTTGCCATTTCTGAGGCTGGTGACTCGGATGAACTTATCCTCAGAAGCAGAGGTGACTCTTGGTCTTCCTTTCCTGGGTCGGTCCTCATGTGTGCCAGTTTCGTTGTAGCGCTTGATGGTTTTTGCGACTCCACTTGGGGACACATTTAAAGTTTTTGCAATTTTCCAGACTGACTGACCTTCATTTCTTAAAGTAATGATGGCCACTCGTTTTTCTTTAGTTAGCTGATTGGTTCTTGCCATAATATGAATTTTAACAGTTGTCCAATAGGGCTGTCGGCTGTGTATTAACCTGACTTCTGCACAACACAACTGATGGTCCCAACCCCATTGATAAAGCAAGAAATTCCACTAATTAACCCTGATAAGGCACACCTGTGAAGTGGAAACCATTTCAGGTGACTACCTCTTGAAGCTCATCGAGAGAATGCCAAGAGTGTGCAAAGCAGTAATCAGAGCAAAGGGTGGCTATTTTGAAGAAACTAGAATATAAAACATGTTTTCAGTTATTTCACCTTTTTTTGTTAAGTTCATAACTCCACATGTGTTCATTCATAGTTTTGATGCCTTCAGTGAGAATCTACAATGTAAATAGTCATGAAAATAAAGAAAACGCATTGAATGAGAAGGTGTGTCCAAACTTTTGGCCTGTACTGTATGTCCCCTGCAAATCCCAACCGTGTTTACAAAGTTTGAATGAACGAGACGGACGCAAAGCAAATGGAGGCTGCACATTGATCCTTTTGCCCCTGTCTGCAGGGACGCATGATGGGGTCAAACGGATCATGTGCATAATTAACCACAAAACAAGCAAATACTTCATCTTAATGACATATAACACTCATTATGCTTCAGCTGAACCCTCTAAGCAAATGACCATGTTGAATTGAAATTAGTTTATCATGTTAAATGTCCGAAATTGTATGAAATTGCTCCAATGTGTTAAACCAATCTTTGTGCATAATCACACAGCCTGGTATGCCCTGGCAAACACAGTGGTACTGCTGTACAGACCGTTGGTCTTTCTTACCCTAACCCTGGTTATTTTCTGGAAGCACAGAGCAAAGAAATGCCTTTTTTTCTCCCCCGGTCTGCTGTCAGCAGGAGTAGCGGCTGCAGCGAGGATTTCAGCACGATGGACAGCGCACGTAAAAAGACTTGACAGGCGTCTCGTTTAAATGTGTTTGCTGCTAGCGAAATTATACATTATAAATGAAGACAGTGACATATTTTAAATAAAAAACAATTTACGTTCATTTCAAGCTTTTGTAGTACGACGAAATTCAGAATTGTGCGAGTGCGGCCGGAGAGCGGGCGGCAGTGTTTGATGCAGGAAACTCGATATGGACTTGAAAATCAATTTCGGAGTGGGGGTGGTTCGGAACGGCTGGGTTTCGGAATGGAGGGCTGTCCCCTGTTGGAACATTGTGCATGCACAGCCCTTCACCACCTGGATCCTAAAATAAACATCTGTTTTATTACATAATCATGCTTCCGTGTTGCGCCATTCATTAAGATCCTATATTTCTGTCATTCAAATAACAAGAATTGTGGTTAATTATAACAGACAACGTATTGAAAAATGTCGGGTTTAAATCGGGCTCGGGCCCATAATTGCAGTTAATTGGACTGGCTGGGCCGGTCCCAGACATAACGTGCACAGGCTCGGGCTGGGTTGGGCTGGATTTTTTGGACCCTATAAGCTCTATTAGCCGCTCTCATGGAAAGGGGGTCAGTTCCGGGGAACCCACATCAACTCGTTTCCCCTGAGCCGCCTCAAGAACTGCCTGCTCTCGCCCTGCAGCTACGCGGAGTCCCTCCTGATCAAAACGCCGCTCCACCTCTGAGCGCAGCAGGTCCAGGGCCTCTGTATGTAGTCAGGCATGCTGCATATCACATCAGAAGCACAGATCTATGCATTAATGATATGAAAGAGATAAATGTAAGTCAGACAAATTGAGTTTAAATTCAGATTCTTTATTTTTTTAAAGTGTAATGCAGGGGGTAGCGAGGCTGATGGGGTGCGGGGGGCGCACCCCTAGTTCCAACATCTATGGCAGTATGGAGACAGATTTGTTTCATAATTATGTGTGTGAACAGATCAACATTCTGTGTGTAAATGTGTAATCTGTAAATATAAAACACCTTCCACAAATACAAAAAAAGATTTGTAAACTCACAAAAATATTTTTCAAGTATAAAACAGATCTGCAAATACACAAACAAATTCTACAAATAAAAAAAATATCTGTGAATACATTAAATTAATTTGCAAATAAATGAAAAGCATTTGTGAATATCTTCCTAACATTTACAACTTTCGAACAGGCATTTGTGAACTCAGATTTTATAAGTGAATCTAAAAAACATTTGTGGATCTCAGTTCTACGCATGTGAATTTGCTTTTTATACACACAGAGTCTTGAAACAAACTCTCCGCTGGTCCGAACAAAAATGCACTCGTATCACTTGGCCATCTTCGGATAGCACGTGATCACCCAGCTGATGACGTCATGTCCGCATGTCAAAGCAAGAGCACCTACTGATTAAACGCACGCGTCATTTTCAATTTTTCATTAACAGAAATTAGGCTGATGTTTGTATCAAAATAGGTTATATATCATGAATTACTAGAAAACAAATACATTCTATGTCAAATCAAGATGTTCAGCAGCAGTGAGCACCCCCATGTAGTTAGAATGATACGGTCTCGTTTCATAACCACATTTTGCGACGATTCAACGGCGAGACTGGCAGTCGAATCAGACTTCTCCAAATCGAATCACCGAATCACCGACTATTCGGGGTCACCCCTAGTTTACAAATCTGTTTTTGTATTTGTGGAAGGTGTTTTATATTTACAGATTACACATTTGCACACAGATTGTCGGTCTGTTCACACACATAATTATGAAACAAATCTATCTCCATACAGCAGTTGTTGTCTGGAGCATATCTTCACATGTAAATACATAAAGTGCCTTTTTACCCGTGATAAATAAAGTTATATTAACAGGGCTCAGTACAAGTCAACCTACAACGAGTCCTTCTGACAGCAGACTGTTGCCTGGAAACGGGGCGTATGGCGTTCAAGCCCCCACAGATAAATAAGAGTTTGTAACTCATAAATCATAATAAAAAGTAACAAAATAATGTAGTAAATAACTTACTTACTATTGTACAGGTAGGTAAATAATAATAAATTAAACGCAGTGCACCTTCAATGATGATAGAAAGTGTTAGTGGAATCACTAACACTTTAACTCTGTTACACAAACATAGTGTTTCGCTGTAATTATGCCAGCATTTCCCTGCAATGGCCATGGGAAGTCGTTCTTTGCATAATCCTGTATATATCGATCTAAAATCAAAATCACATAGAACATTCATTTTTGCAGCAATCATCATGCTTGTGTCATCACACCCATAATGATGTCATCGGGCTTTGTGAGGTGTGGTGTATAATCACATGAAACCACTGGGTGGCGCCAGAGTAATAAATAATGAATCTATCACACCTTTTCACTGTGCTTATAAAAATGAATTTTGCCTTTTCATTTTATAGAATTATACAATTACAATACAATTATAAAATGTCAAATTTTTATTTATGTATTTTTTTTTATCAATCATTATGGTATATTGACTTAAATAGCCTTTTAGCTCAGGTTGTATAGATTTTAGAGATATGAAGAATTTCTAGATATTTTAATTTTGAATAGATACCACTACACCACCCCCATATGCATTCCTGTCTCTTTTGTGCTTTGATCCTGTTTGGTCTCATTCCACCCACTCTCAGTCAGCTTGCCTAATGATGATTAACTCTGTAAAGAGACTCAAGGGAATCTTTATCAATGAGGGAGAACTGAATGTGCCATTATCTTGTTAATGCTTAACAGCGGCCACTGTTAAGCAAATGTTCCAAAGTCTCACTTTTAACAGTACCCAGTCTGATAATATGGCTTGCAATACTATCTAGTGGTAACAACATTCTTTTTCTTCATCTTGTGAAGCACTAATGTATCATAGCATTATAGCACTATGCAACATCACAGCCAGGTAGTCACAGCACAGCAGAACACACCTGACCACACAGATGTATCAAGGCCAGTGCAGTTACCTCCCTCCAAACTCTAGTGTGCATTTACTCTTTGAAGGAAAAGTTCACACTGAAAGAGTTTTAAGAGTTTTCGTTCCTCCTCTCCATACCAGCTGTGACACACCACCTTCCAAGCCCTATGTTAAAGATTGGGGACAAATTCTGTAGTCCTCAGCACACAGCTCTATGTAACAGTGCATTTTAAAATTCACCTGAAGCCAATTTAAGAATTCAGCAGTCGGTCTAATATAACAAAAAAAATAAAAAATACTCTAAAATGTTCACCTTGATTTGGCCAGGGGGGAAATGATTACAATGGCTAATAACTCTTTCATTGTAAATATGTATGATAGAAATGTGAACCTACCCTTTAAAGTTACCCGCACATTTACTATAATATAAACTGAGAGGCTGTTTTCATTTCAGATAGCAGACATGCTCATAGTGCCATGCCCCAATAAAAGAGAGGAAAAGCATCTGTATTTACACTATCAACTGATGTCAGAATACAGCAGTGGATGGTGGGAAGTAAAGGCTGCTGCAGCATCTCTATTACCATACCAAATACATTAAAGTAAGATTAAAATTGGCAAAGTGTACTTTTTTACAAAATCTGTCAAAAAGGCCTGAACATTCAGCTGCTGCAGTATATTTTTTTATTATCTGTGGCCAGCAGACATGACAGCTTACCCAACATTTGGTCAGTATTTGATGAAGAGGCGTCTCTCTTTTGGTCTCTACTGTTTCTGGCAGGATTGGTCGTCTGTTTGATGGAACGGAGCCCATAGTGTTGGACAGTCTTAAGCAGCACTACTTCATTGATCGAGATGGCCCAATGTTCCGCTACATACTTAATTTCCTCCGGACCTCCAAACTCCTCATCCCTGCAGACTTCAAAGTGAGTGTGTAGAGCTTTGATCAGGTACTACCACAGTTAATCTTCGCAGTGTATCTGAACAGCCCCAAATCACAGGGGCACCAAAAAACAAACGAATTGTCCAGACTGTCAGAGGAAAGGTTTTAACTGTTGTCACACTTACAGAAACTATCCTGAGAACTGCTTTGAGACACAATGTAAGTCATGTTTTCTTTACTGTGATAACTTTCCATATAGTTAATACTTGGGCGGCTTTGGCAAACTGCAAGGAGGAGACCAGGCCATGCAACTGTTATTCTAACTGCATTTGTGTAAATATATCAAGCTAATCGCTGTATTAGCCCTGCAGAAAAAGATACAACTCTGGTTGTAACTGTCTGAGAGACAGTTTTTAAAGAGATTTCATTAAAATGTTTATTTTATATTTTTCAGTAATAATTTAATCAATGTTTGAATTCATACAGTCAGTAAAATGTGTTAAAATGTAAAATGTAATAAATAAGTTGTTTAAAAGGGTAACTTTAATTTAAAACTGGACTAAAATACACTACCTCAAAAATAATTTTTGGTTCAAAAATCCAATGCTTTTGAATGCAAGTTATATTTTGATGTTGAGTGTCACAGGCCAAATGAACAGAGTTTAGTGAAGGGCACACCTGATGCATTATGGGTCAGGAAACAATAGACAGCAGAGAGAGAGAGACAACATGCCTGCAGAGAGAAGAGCCAAATGTGACTGCAGAGGAATAGAGTACTACGGCCTAAATTAACAATATTCTGCATGGTTCAAGAGGCGCACACGGTAATGTACCTTTGATTGTGTCATATTTGTGCATAATATTGTTGAAATGCCTTTTGTATATACTTTTGATATTTTTTGTTGCTATGTTCACGTACTGGGATCTGTCTATTAACAGATGTTAAGCAGGATAGACTTAATTGTTTGGGCGTGTCTAATTATAGACACTTGCTAAAGAGAAAATGACAAAATGACTGACAGATGTATATTTTGACTCATTGGTTTTATATGTTTTATTTTTTGTAGTTTTCACAGTGTCTGATGAAAGAAAGGGGGCAATAAATCAGAAAAACACATCTGTATGATGCGTGGCCATTATTTATTGGACCGGTGCAGTTACGCTGGTCCTTGTTTCAATTCAACTCACCCTCCCCTTCCCTGCCCTGAGCTGTATCACAGGCTCCACACAAAACGAATGAATCACTCACTTGCTCAGATGCGGTCTTTGCTACAAGTCCTCTCTCTCTCTTAACTCATTCACTGACTCGCCCCTGCTACCGCAAGCTAACTGCAAAGAGGAGACCAGACAACATGTGACTATTGTGCAATTGTTAACTGCATTTGTGTAAATATATCAAGTTAATGCGTTAATCTGTATTAGCCCAGTGGGAGAAGTAACAGCTCTGGTCCTTATTACAACTCAATCCCCCCATCTCCTCCCTGCCCTGAGCTGAGCTGTGTCACAGGCTGAGGCTACATAAAGGAACGATTCACTCACTCACTCACTCAGTAGCTCCAACTCCCAGCTCACCGGCAGCACAAAGCTCACTCACACTCTCTCCCTGCTCGGAGAGCCCCTCCCTTACTGTACCTGAGTAAACAGATAAGAAACAATAAATTGTGAAGACAGTAAAGCCTCCACTAAAATAGCATTTTAAGTCTTGTGTGTGATATATCCTTTAGGGATTTATACTTCAGGATTTATCCTGGCTTCATATGAACAGAGGAAATCTCTGCTCGTCGCTAGGCTAATTTATACAATAGAAAATGGCATAGACTTGTGCTAAAAACGTTAGCATGTTGTATTGGTGGGGAAAATGTGTCCAGATAAAGACAAGTGTTTGTCTGTCAATGCTGCGATTTATAGTGAAGCCAATTTGCAAACTTGTGTTTGAAATTGTCTCTATTATAGGCCGTAAGGTGAACACAGTTATCGTTTCATCTCCGACATCTGGGGACTACACAATCTTTACTTCATAAAAAAGATCGATACATGTTCAGCTAATCAGCAGGAGTTCATAGCTCATAACCCTGCAAGAGTCCTGTGATCGGGGTCGTAATTCGGCACTTATTCCGTCTGAGCGTAATGATCAGTTCCGCCTGAGCGTAATGACATTTGGTACGCGAGTGGTGGCACGGCCGTCACGTGATCGTGCTACACCAATAAGGTACCCGCATTTCGTGTCACCATGGTTTCATTCAGCAGAGGAAAACAGACCCGGAAGTCATCAAAAGTGAGCAGAAATTAGCTGAAACAGCGCTATTCACACTCGCCGTGTCCATGAAACACGATGAGACAAATAGACAAAAAGGTGAACTAAGCAAAAATGTCTTAAAACACATTTGATTCAATACCTGAGCATAACCGACGTATTATTACATAGACAACATAGCTGTCCAGTACAGAATACGAGAACACCGGTACGATTAAACGCCGGGGCGATTATTTCCTCATTCATTGCCTCGAGGAGGGACAGCCCTGCAGGCAGGGAGAGAGCAGCTCGCGAGGGCTGAGGGACTGTTTGCGCTTTTACGCACAGGTCGGTGGTGAAGTGGCACACATGACTCGTGCTACAGACAGACGGACGGACGGACAGACAGCCACGTATCTAAAACAGGTAATACATCTGGCTACATCTTTCCCACATCAAATATCCGTGATCACCTACACCCACGTGCGTAAAAGCGCACACAATTCCGTGTCCTCTCACCGTGCATGCTGTGATTTGATGGCCCGGAACTCATTGTAGCCCACTCTTATAACACCCAATAATAATAATTATAATAAGCTACTGTGGACCTATATGCATTGCCTTTTAATGAAATTGCCATTAGAGTTTGCTGAAAAGTAAAGTCCTGAATTCCAAATAGTAGCCCGGGTGTTTATTTCACAAAATCGATTTTGACCCCAGTCATTTAAATGAACCAGGGGCTATTTGCTCAGGGCTTTTATTTTGTTTTGGGGTTTTTTGCACCGACCTGCACCAGGCCGTTATTTGGTTACAGTTCCTGTCCAGTATGTTTTTAGTGCAAAAATACTGTATAATGTAGGGGTGAGTTCGTGTACAAAAATCTCTAAACGTTTAGAGTGGGTAATATTTTTTCATGCACACGGATTTCACCGCTGGGTGGTGCTATTGCATTATACGAGTAAAGCCCCAGTTATCTGAATACCAACCGAATGGGCCATTTAGCTAATGGTTACAGGCCGCCACACCGAAATATCGCCATTCCAATGGTCCGCCATCCCGAATTCTGGTCCCTGAGTCCTGACGGTAAGCTATGGCGAGCCTGTAGAAGCTGTATTTCCCATGTATGTCAGCAATTTTCACCGGGGACGCACGCGAGTAACTCAGGCTGACATTACCTGCTTTTCAGCAAACTTCTGTGGTAATTTTATTAAAAGGCATGGCTTATTATTATTATTATATTATTGGGTCTTTTAAGAGTGGGCTACAATGAGTACCGGGCCATCAAATCACAGCATCTGTGGTGAGAGGACACGGAATTGTGTGCGTTTTTACGCAAGCGGGTGTAGGTGATCATGGATATTTGATGTGGGAAAGATGTAGCCAGATGTATTACCTGTTTTAGATACGTGGCTGTCTGTCCGTCCGTCCGTCCGTCCGTAGCACGAGTCATGTGCACCACTTCACCACCGACCTGTGCGTAAAAGCGCAAACAGTCCCTCAGCCCTGCAGGCAAGAAGAGAGCAGCCCTTGCGAGCTGCTCTCTCCCTGCCTGCAGGGCTGTCCCTCCTTGAGGCAATGAATGAGGAAATAATCGCCCCGGCGTTTAATCGTACTGGCGTTTAATACGCAAAATGGGGTCAAACCCCCAGCAGCTATTAGGTGCCCGGCGGCTATATGCCACCGGGCGACTATTTGGAAATATACGGTATGTGACAATAATCATATGTGTATATTAACAGTAGAAGTGTGACTAATGATAACAGCAGAAGCAGGAGGCAGCTGGCAGGACCACGGCAGCTCTTGTAGGCTGAAATCAAGACGATCATATTAACCAGTGCGCAATCATCAGACTTGACAATTATCACGGGAAAACAATCTTTGTTATATCAAGATAACGAGATAATTAATTTGTTATCACGAGAAAACAATCTTTGTTATATCGAGATAGCGAAATAATAAGTCGTTATCACGAGATAACAGTGCACAAAATTTTTTTAAAAAAAATACATGGCCGTTCTCGTATTCCGTACGGAGAGTGTAGAAAAGAGGTGAAGAAACGTGGGCAAGCAGGTTGGAACGGGTGGATAAACGGATAAAGGTGTGATGTGTGATAAAAGAGTACCAGCAAGATTAAAAGGAAAGGTGTACAAGACGGTGGAAAAGCACTGAGGAAAAGACAGGAGGCAGAGCAAGGGGTAGCAGAGATGTAGATGTTGAGGTTCTCTTTGGGAGTGACAGGGATGGATAGGATCAGGAATGAGTACATCAGAGGGACAAGCTCATGTTAGATGTTTTGGAGATAAAGTCAGAGAGGCCAGACTGAGATGGTTTGGACATGTTCAGGGGAGGGATAGTGAATATATCGGTAGAAGGATGCTGAGGTTGGAACTGCCAGGCAAGAGGCCTAGAGGAAGATCAAAGAGGAGATTTATGGATGTAGTGAAAGAGGACATGAAGTCAGTTGGTGTGAAAGAAGAGGATGCAGAGGATAGGGTTAGATGGAGGCAGATGATTCACTATGGCAACCCCTAAAGGGAACAGCCGAAAGAAGAAGAAGATTAAATTTAATCATTAAAAATGGAATCCAGCAGCCTCAAATTCAAGAGGTCATCAGAAAGGTAAAATCCATGACTGAATATACCCGCCGAAGCACAGTGGCCTCTGCTAAACTTCGAGAAATGCAGCTAGAGATGGGACAACCCCAACTACAGCTGAAACAAGATGTTGCTACAAGGTGGAATTCTACCTATTACGTGCTGAAGCTAGTGTTGCACGGTATACTGGTACCAAGGGTAGACCGCAGTACTAAA